ATGCTAGTGATATTTCTATGCAAACTGAAAGTAGAGTAGAATACCTTTATGATTTGTTAATACGTATTATTAAACACTAACCTATACATAATTCTTACGTGGTAAGTTGTTACATTTGATACTTAATACTCTCAACATAATTATTTATAATGGTAATACATACCTTCGATTATTGACCTTTTAATTTTAAAGGTCAAGATGAAAATACCGAATAGTTCTATACCCTATATGAAATAGCTATTATAGCCATGATTGATAAAATACATTAGCTAGACATTTAGATTAATTTATGTTCTGATTTAATGTCAGTATTCCGAAATTCACCAGGAGAGTTTGATATATTTGATATTTCAACTTTTAAGTATACTATAATCATCAACTGAAGTTGCAATAGTACATTTTACTTAAAGCCACGTTCAGCCTCAGAAATGAAAACACGCTTTCATCTGAAGACAATGGTAAACCTGCGATTTATAATATGTCAATAATGGATTTAGATAATACTTTAGATACTTATCAGCAGTGAAAATGAAATAATCTGTTATAAATGTAGCACAGCGTAAACAAAGTAGTATCTTGTCATCCATATACAAAATAATAAATCAGTATAACGTAATTAATTGACAAAGCAAATGGTACGAGTAAATAGCCATCTTTAAGAAAATCTACAACAAAATTTAAAGGAGAAAAGATTATGCAATAAAAAATACAGGATTTATGACCAATAAGCTAAAGAAATTGTAATAGTACAACAACAACAAAAGTCTGATTTATTACTTTTGGTGAATATTAAGCTTTTACAAATTAATTTATTTGAATCGACAAACATTAGTAAGTAACGTTCTCAGTTTTGGACGATGCTGTATCATTCCTAATGCTTATGATACAGTAAATATGAAACACAAGATCCAGAAGGAAGGGTAGCGTTCAATGGACGCAACCCCCACACGCCCCAGTAACACAGACCACCGGCAAGGAGCCCGGTAGGAACCCAAACAAAAACAGGTCAGGGCACAGAGCAAAACACGGACGGGATGATTACTTTAATAATACATAATAGGCAATAATAAAAACCGACAAAGAACATAAACAAGACGTGTAGTATAGTTTCATTTTAGCTGCTTTATGATCGAGTGTCTTAATCAAAGCACAAGTATAGGGTAGGGATTACATTAAAAGAATTAAAAAAAACATGTATACACAATCAATATTACTTTCGTTTCTTTAAAGCAGCATGTTTCCAGATTCAAAAAAAAAATTAAAAAAAATGAAAATGAAAATGTACTTGAAAGTCAAATATTATGAAGTCAACGAAATTAGTAACTTATACATTTCAAACGGCATTTACAATCCCTGTAAATTACCCAAAAAATGAGGTCAAGATATCCCAAAAAGCCCTAACCGTGTAAGTTCCGCAGTAGAAATAAGGTGCACAGTACAATTCTTACGATTCAAGCCTAAACATATGGCGGACATTTGCAATTTGCATGCGGAAAATCTTGCTGCCATCAAATAAAACATTAGAGGGAGAACTGTTAGCGGTAAATGGATACAAGTACACAAATAAAATGGATATAAGTACACAAATAAAATAAAAATGTGCATTAAGTAGTAAGTATTTTGTCCAGACTACTGCCGATGTTTCCACCTATAAAGTCCATTAGCTGACATGTTGCTGTCAGGTTTGATCAAGTGTCAACGTAAAGACATCTATCTCGTCAAGTACTTTAGTACACCTAGACAGGAAGTACTTGCATCATACCGGTAAAACTCCACAACCAAGAGAGAATCTTATAGAAAACTTAAAGAAAATCTTAAAGAAAAAGTACAACACATTTTTTTTCTGTTTGCCATTTTGGTGTTTATATGGAATGTGGGTCATTCAAATGTTTCGTAATCGAAATGATCTCTTTATTGTCCATCTTTCTTAATTTAGTTCACTCGAGGCCGTTCAATCCTATGAGGTTTGTTGAAAATGCAATGTTTCAAAGATTGATAGATTTTACAACACGATGATGTTTATTGTTAAAATTTTATTATTGATAAATCTTCTGATGCTTTTAAATGTTATAATTTTATTATTGATAAAAGCCAATTGGTTGTCTTTAGTTGTTGATGCATAAGAATTGCTGCGTGGTCGTAAGGGGAGACTTAAATAACCTCTGATCCCCTTTCAAAATTCCATTTTATTTAGTTCCGCCCATTGTTTTCTCGTTTAGGGCACACGCTTTTTATTGCTTGGGGACCATACGCCGCTTTTCATCATGGAATGGCACGGAAGTGTCACATTGAAGGTTCCGTGATAACCGCCGTATGAACACATCTGCGGATGTTTCTAAATTCAAAATTTTACTATTTCATGTTTAAATGTTGAATTCTGCTTAAGCCGGTGCTAGGGGGCGTGGACGGTAACTTGCACTTTCCAGGACCGTCCATAAACAGGCTCAATCAAACCGAGCTTGCAACATTTTCAATTTTGCCGTGTTGGGCTTTCTTTAGGGATTCTGTATTTATCTGTTTTTTAAATAGTTTGAATAACTGGAGTCTATGCACCTTTTAGCTCCAGAATGTGAGGTGTTTTTGACCCCTGGTGTTACTTTAAAGCTTGAACACTCGAGGTTAGATACGCCGAAAAAAAAAAAAAAAAAAAAAAAAAAAAACGACAAAAAAAAAAAAAAAAAAAGAAAACAAACGAAAATATAAGTGAACAATAGATAATAACTAATAAAAGTAGGTTAAAGTATAAAATAAATTAAGGATTCAATATTTTTAAGGGACTCCGCTGAGGGATTTATTTTTGACATAACGGGACTTGTAAAAATGTTTCGAGATTATTGTTCTTTTGAAGTAGGTCAAGACCAATAACTTGTGTTAACAAATTCAGAACATTCGCTTACTCTGTTTTTTTACAAGAAGGACTGTTCTGTAATAACTGCCAGATGTCCTAGTGGTTAGTACGACTAAGTTGTAATCGGGTAAATACAAGTTCACTTCTTCAAGACGACTTTTTCATATTATTAAATTAAGTTTCGGAATCCGATAATTACCCACAAAAGGTTATTGGATATTCAAATGTCTCAGGTCAATATTGCCAAACAAGAAGTATTTCAATGTCACAATAATACAGCAAAATTATAAATAAATATCAAGTACTTGACGGTGTTTTTTGTAAAAAAAAATGATACTGGGGGTTTTCCCCAAAAAATAACAGCACTACTACGACTGTTGGGAAGATAATCGTCTGCTAAATATATCGTCTGCTTTTATTCAGCTCATATAATTTTATCGATGTTAAACATACAATGTATAAGAAAGAAGGCTAGTATTTGACACGTTGTCTGGTACGGAAGCGAATAAGTGTCACATTGACACTGGTTCATTTGTAATTGCCAACGCATCAAACTGCCAACACTTTAAACTGTTAAATGTAAACTGTAATTATAGTTATAATTAGTCTTTAATCTGTAAACTGTAGGGAAATGTAACGCATCTAACTCTTAATTCTAAAGAGTAAAATTTACAGTTTAAAGTGAAATTGTCAATGTGACACTTATACGCTTCCGTAAATACCAATCGGTTTTAAAAGGTAAAATGACAGGTGAAATTTTAGTTAACCATTGGATACTAACTGATACACCTGCAACGCATACACGTCAATTTGTTGTGTTACAAAAATACGGGTATTTCCCGTTTAAGTTTAACGGATATTGATTAAACTGGAATTAATCAATCTACTTTGTTAAGTTAGGAAATATATTGGTGTTAATGGCAAAAATTGCGGAATTATTAAAGAAAATTCTTTACATAACCACCTATCTGCCAGTGTCAATGAGATTTTAACATTAATCACCAAAATTGGGTTACTTAGGGTGTAAATGAATGTAATGAATAATTTATTGTATGAATTTTGATGTTATTATGGTAGTCAGTAAAATGGTGCATCTTTCATTATTTTATTTGTAAAATCATTAAAATTTTAACCAATTACATGCTTAAACTAAAAACTGATGTTGCCTTGCCATCTAATTAGAGACGGGCACGGTTGAACATTCATGCAGCCTTAACTGACCCGGTCTTACTGGTAGCTAAATGTTTGAATTCTGATATTGAAATCTCTTAACTTTCTTCATAGATTGTTCGAAATTTAGAGCTTGAAAAGTTTATTATTAATTAATGCAAATTTTACAAATTAAAGGTTGAACCGACGATGTACGTAATGTAAATGATATCTACTTCTCTAACGCTTACTTGATACCATAAAAACATGGAAATTAAGTTCCAATTCAAAACATGTCAAAGTTCATAGACATTAAACCCTTTGACTTTTAAAATTCTTGGTTTATTCGTAAAATCAATGAATTAATCGAGAAGTATAGGGTTACAATGTATGTACAAAGTTAAATTGAGGAAGAAAAAATGTAACATTTTAAAACAACCGGACATTCAACACTTAGGTTTACAAGTATGCAAATTCTATACGTGTTTCTATTGCATTGATGTCTTATAAACAGTAACTGATGAAATTTTCAAAAGTTTTGATTTAGATAAGTATTACTGCCACTTATAAAGTTGATGACATCGTGTAAACTGTAATCAGCTTTAATTCAACATTAAGAAGTAATAATAGTAAATGGACACTCCACTCCCGAACAACCCCTTCCCTCCAAGTCCCTGAAAGACAGTATATAAATAAAACAATAAACAATTATTTACTAATTTAACAATTTATTCAAAAACATTATAGCAACATACAAAATATTTGTATATAAAACAAGTTTGTAAAAATGGCAAGAATAAATTAATAAGTAAATAAATGCATGTTAAAAAGCATCAATCAAAAATAAATAATCATATTAAGTTAGTATAAATACTTCATCTATGTAAAAAACATGTCCAAATATTGCGTCATAAAAATTATGTAAAATTATGCTCAACATAAATGTCAGAAAATGTAATTAACGGAAACAACAACAATAACAACAAAACACTTGGCAACATTAATAACAACAATAAAAAAGATAGAAATAAAATGCATCAAATGTAAAACATTAAAGATTAAATCTTTAACAACATGAAATGACGGGAAATCGAGTAAATTAACAGCTAAAGCACGAGTTAGATGCTGTTTAAACTATTATAAAAGTAAAATAATGTATAAATTGAGGTAATATCAGTAGAACTGTTAGGATTCATTGAAAACATAAAGCAAAATAATGTAAACTTCAGTCCACACGCTATTATATCTACGTTTAAATCGTATAGTCAAACATAAACACAATGACTGTATTGAACACTTTGTGGCAAATACTGTAATATCAATATAAATGTTTATCTTTAAAGCGGCGTTTATCCAACGTTATGCCCATTCTGGCGTAGGTTGGCTACTCTGAGTAGATGCTGTAGATGCTGAAGTAGTTGTGAATCGTGTAGGTGTTGTAGATGAAGACTGTTGGCCGTCGGTGACTGCGATACGTCTTCCCGACGCTGTAAATCCGATAACAGTCGTCATTACTTCTTCCACCCAAACATATTTATCACTTTCGTCGAGGCTCGGTAGTTGTCTCAGTACTTTTAACTTGTGTGTAATGGGAACGCATTCGTACATTTTGTTCGAGCCTACAGCGTACTCACAGAGGGGTTCAGCGTTGATGACGGTAGCAGGGAACCTTGTCGGATCATGAGAAGCACTGTAGTACCATGGGCACGTCGACAATTCATTTACGTCACCGTCGGGATCATTGGAAACCTCTTCCGGGCAAACAAGATTTGAGCCAAAGTCATCTTTGTTTGGATTAATTGCATCCGGAAGTGCAGTCTGATCATGCAACAGTTTGTGGCGAGATTCGCTATCCATTAAGAATTCAACGATAGTCGCCGATCGCTTCTGTCTTTGTTCTGTATCTACATCTTCTTCTGGTGCAGTGTCAATAGGAACACTGTTCGCATATTGAAGAAAGACAAAAAGTGTGATGAATTCAGAAACATGCATTGTTCCAGTTGAAGCAGAGTTCGATAAATAAAGATGTTCGTGTTTTTGTTATTAAGTTTTGCGTTTGACAATGAATAAAACTAGGTATCTAATGTGCTGATTCGATTTTATCTATAACGTTTAGAGCGATTGTGGCATTATTTAAAATAAAACTGGAGCAGATTTTCCCAAAACCTAAAAATAGTTCACCAATACATATATTTTTAGTCACATGGTCTCACCAGGAACATAAAATCAAAAAATCAAACAAAGACTTATGTATACGACAGTAAGATCGAATTTCTACTTCCTGAATTGTAGTTTCTTTAACAAGTAAGTTAAATGTTTACATAATTTCACACGCTGTTAAAAATAACCGTCAGCTTACAAAAAAAAGAACAAAATCCCCTAAAATCGATTTGTCCTTATACTTGTAATCGTTTCTGATCTAATATATACGATATATTTAGATTGTTAAACGGACAATATTACTGAAATCGGTAGCTTGTATGAATAGTTAATGTATAACTATATAAAAACGAAAAAAGTTTTCATAGTTTGTTTTCCTATTAGATGCTTCTATTCTTTACCACGCGAGTAATTTTGTTTTTGTATTTTTTATTATCACTTAAACCATCAACCCTAGCGGATATCTTTATCATATTGCATTTAACCCTTACCAGGCCTAGTAAACCATCCATCATTTTACACAAACTATCAAAATATGTGTTGATTGAATAGCGAACGGTGTAGGCCATGGTCAGTCGGTACGGATATGCCGGGTGATCTTGGTCTGCAATGATCGCATGGGTAAAATTAGTTTTAGTGATAATCGTACCTATCTCAAGGCATAAACAGATGGATAAATAATTACAAAGTTCAGGATAAATATTGTTCAATTGCTTTATATTTTGTCTTGAATTACGATTTTAGGAGCTCTGGCATAGTTGTTTACCACCTGTCTTTCAACCCAGGGATCAAGGGTTCGAGCGATACTGGGGTTACGAGTACGATTCCTCAAATTATACCAGCACTGGTTTAGTCTAGGAAGCTGACACGGGGCTCTTTCTAATAAGCTTCTAATTTCATCATATTTGAACTTAAAATTACTAAATGTGCTTTAACTAAAGTACTCGTATACTTTTTAATCAGTAGAATATTGTTTAACATGATTGTTATTCAACAATATATTGTGTAACATGAATAATAGTTTTTCGATATTGGCGTGTATATGATTAAAACAACAACAACAACAACAACAACAACAACAACAACAACAACAACAACAACAACAACAACAACAACAACAACAACAACAACAACAACAACAACAACAACAACAACATTTTATTTGCATACATTTTATAACAGCATTATAGCCATATAGTATACATAAAACATAGGTCGATGTATTAAAGTGTTGATTATACAATTTATCAAGTCTATATGTAACATTATTTTTAGTCTAAATATTGCATAATCTATCAAATATTTATATTGTATAGTACGTTAAGTGTTTTGAGTGTTGAAAATTGAGTGTCGCTCCAGGCCGATGCTAGGGGGCATAAGAGATGTTGCAATTAATGCTTCCGAGGGATCATCTCTTTCTCCTGATCTTTTAATATTGCATCATATGTTAAAACGTTTTATTGCATCATATATAAACTGTTTACATTGCATCAAATTGTGATTAAGTACACTTAAGTAATTAAATATAGTTATAACAACTGTAACGTTATTTATAGCTGCACTTAATAGATTTACGTCCACTATCTAATGATCAGTCAGAATGTTAAAACATTACATAGTAATAATTAACTGAACAAAGAGTAAGTGTTACTTACCATATAATGTTTTTACATAATTATACAATGGCGAAAAAAATATTATGAGCTATGCACTTTCAATTTCCATTTTAAAATGAATATTCACCACAAAAGATAGAATACGATTTTTAGTTGTTAACATACTTGAGGATAGGTCTCATTTTTATCCAAAAGTTCATTTGCACGATTCTATCGTAAATATTATTTAAACCCTTTTTTTACTTTTAAAAAGGGTTGTGTTGAACGAATGATAAATATCTATACATGTTATATGACTACCGTAATAAAAACTCTAAAATTCTAACAGCTGGATGATATAAATTTAAACAGCCTATACCCGCCATTTTATTTTCTATATATTTAACAGACTATTAATATACCTTCAAATGAGATCGGGAATTTTTAAAGTTGAATATGCTCTTGGTACACACGGTATAATATGGATTTTAGTAAAAGCGTGTCAGCCAATGAAAATTCGAAAAATTGATCTGCATTCTTTCCGCATAAAAAAAAAAAAAAAAAAAAAAAAAAATAAATAAAATAAAAAAAATAAACAAATAAAAAAAGTAAAAAAATAAAATAAAATACAGATATACATAATTATTATTAAGTTTTGTTTTAAATTACAGATGTTGCAAAATAATCATCTCTTTCAAATATTTTTTTTCGTCTCAGCCTATAACATTTTACACACTAATATATTATTTCCTCACATAAAACATCCTATAAGGAAGATCGTCGATATACGCTATAGGGAAGATATGATGACGTAACATGTACATTTAACTCTTATCCTGTTGAATTTTGGTAATATATTTGCCAAACTTTGAATTTGGAACTGTATGTTCAAATTTAAGGAGTTTCAATTTTAAAATACATAAAAGGAGATAAAAAATGAAACTTTCATACTTAAAAACATTACATTCTTCTGCAATTATTCTCTAATTCAACGAACTATTTTTTCACTAATTTAAAACTTATTGTTACATTCTTCTCTCTTTAAAACGAAGTAAAGTGATTTAGCAAGACATAAGCAAACACAACAACAACAGCAGCAGCAGCATTAATATTAATAATTAATGTTAACATATTTCAAAATAAAACCCATCTGATTTAAAGAAGGGACACTAAACAGCAGTCTAGCTTTGATGATAATTTTAATGACTTTCAGATGCAGATTTATCTCCATCATTAAAAGGAACCAAGATGACATTTATTATAAAACATCAAGAAATTCAAAAGCAAAAACAGGTCATTTACAAATATGATTATTGACTTTTGACAATAATATAACATAAAAAAACAAAAAATATATTTTGCTCTGTCATGTAATACAAAACGCTTGAAAAATCCCCTTTCAATATTGTTCCGCTTAATGTTGAAAGAATTACCGATCCATCACAGCCAGGCTTTGTATGTCACTACATTCTGCTTTCAATGAAAACAATGTAAAAAATCTGGAAGACTGCGATCCCTCTGAAGCAGTAAAATTACCTGAAAATTGCAGATTTGGTTTATATGAGTCTGTGCATGAGGGATTGAACCAGCGACTAATGGATTACAAACCGAACCTCTCCTAATCGGGCCAACCATAAATTGTTTGTGGAAATTAATGAATCTATGTGCTAAAAATATAAAGAATGCAAAAACGTGTTATTGATATGCATATTTCATCAAATTATGAACATTAAAAAACCCAACCTATTTGAATTTTCTTTATTATGGAGCGTATTATTGATTTTGCTTCTCAATTTCATTCATATTTCCCCCGACATGTTGCTTTGAAACGAAAAACTTAACAGACTGAAATAAATATCATGTGTTTAATGTGCAATAGTGATTATGTCAATTTTGTCATAATAAACAGAGTGGTTTAGAATCGGTTGTCACAAATATCACACTGTCACTGTCTACAGTAACAAACCGGCAAGATTACGTTATGAGACTGGATTTTATCTAACACCTCATTACCAAATAATTTGTAATTACAATGGTATAGGTATCACCACAATATCTCACTAGACAGGTCAAATGTGCAAAGCCAATGCCATTGTACCAGTCTGAACCTCTGTATCGTTTCTACGGCCAGACGAATTATCGTCTACATGATAGTAAAAATAAAGTTCTTGTCGCAAAGTTAAAGTGACATTATGTCTATCTAAGAGTATATAGTGAGTGAACATGTGAAAACCAAAATACGTTAACATTTTGTCATATTATAATTTATATTTGCTCTTCCCTGGTGATGTAGCTAATTTATGTCACATATATAACAAACACAAGTGTAAGTTTGAACATGTCTGACATCTAACCGATGCCAGACGTTTTATTCATGTTTAACTGAAACCATTGAACTTTTAAACAAAATATAAAAGATGTGACATAAAGTTGGAAAAAGCAAAGTCCATGACTGACATCTAACCAATGCCAGACGTTTTAATCAGGTTTAACTAAAAGCATTGAACTGTTGAACAAAATATAAAAGATGTGACATAAAGTTGGACAAAGCAAAGTCCACAACTATCCAACCAAAGTACATTTCAATATTATAATTTACATCGCATGAACAATAAAAAACTCACTTGATCAAAGAAAAATTCTGTAAATATCATTCGAAAATTACCTATAACGTTCAGTTTATAAAAGGAGTAGGGCATTCTTTTTAATTTCTTTAAGTAGATTTATATTTCATCGCAAACATACGAATATCAACTATTGGTAAATCACCATTAAACAGTCATTTTTTTAAATACATGTATACAGTCAACTAAGGTTTACTTGACTATGAAAAAATGACCATAATGTGAAATAATGCAAAAACTCATTTGAAAAGTGAAGTGTTTACATATTGTCATATCATCTGAATCAATTCTACATTATACTTATTGTTAATTTATATATCCGTTAATACTTGTTGTTTATTATTACAGTACTTTACTAGATTAGCTGTTAGTCACGTGGTTTGCAAACAAAGTTCTAAATATAGCATCTAATATTTTTTCTATTAATACATGGATTTTCTTCAATTTCCCCTTCAAAGAGAAAGCTTTCCTAGATGTTGACCAACTTTAGGTAAAGTCTGTCTTATTTTCCTTTATCTTTTTTTTCTAAACCAATTTTCGTCATCTAAATTAGTTTGGGTAATATCGAGTAAAACTATTTATTATATCATTTTTAACATGAATAACAAAGGCGAAAAACTTTTGAATTCAAATTATTGTTAAAATATTTGTTTATGAAAGATTAATTTATATGTCATTTTGGTCATATCTTATCAGTCTCAGGTTTAATCATTTAGGAATGTTGTC